TTATCTCGACAACAACGAGATAACTACTCTTCTCGAGATCATAGTAATAGTGTGATCTCAAGGGAAGAACTGGGCTGCAGATCTGTCGAACTCTCCTTCTTTATGCAGAACAATTCGCTGAGATCTCCTTCTCCTCTCTGAAATTCATGGCTCTTCAGTCTCCAATTCAGCAGGGCTTTGTCAAGGCTCGAGAATTCCAGATACGTGCAAATGAAGGCCCTACGGCTGTATTTATAGGCTTCGGAAGCTCTGTTTTCGAATAAGAATGGCTGATTCACTCTTATCCTCAGTTATAATCATTTTATCATGCTCTAGGATAACATTAGATCAGTTAGAACAAATACAGGTGGTTAACGGCCGAAAACGGCTCAAAGCAATGTTTTTTAGGCCTGTGGACACCCGTAGTGTCTCGGCCATGGTCGAGACACTTGGAGTGTCTCAGCCTTGGACGAGACACTCGCAGTGTCTCCGCTAAGGCCTGGGCACTGTTCAGGCACGCCCCAGTCAGAATCGTTGTATCTTTGTCGTCCGAACTCGGAATTATGTGATTCAAAGTGCGTAGGAAATCTGATGAAGAGATCTACAAGATCCCATGGTTGAATCATACATGGAGTAGACAAGACATGAGGGGTGTTTCATCTTTCATAAATGAAGCGTAACTCCCGATTAGTTCGTATCTTCATTATTCTGTAGTTCCGTTGCTTTGTACGGTTCGTCGACTCACTTCATGCGCTTGTCAATGTCAAATAAGCTTTTATGACTCGGATAGTGATGTTCATCGTCTTCTCTCTATCTTAAGTAGTGTACAGGAATCTGTGGGTAATTTGTGACGCCTACAAGACCTTCTTTCTTTTTTGAGAGAACATGTCTGGTTCTGAAGATAGAGCTGAGCAATCTCGTCCTAGAGGACCTCATGAGAGCTATGCTACTCAAGCCCAGCTTGAAGCAACAACTCATATGATTTCTCAATCTTGCCAAGAGCAATTTATTGCCTTCTCCAATGAGCTTCTCAGTAGGCTTCTACAGCCGCAAGAAGCAGTCTCTAAGACTCTCCGCCACCATGTCTCTCCAATCCCTTCGGCTACCATTAGAGCCTTTGGATACGACCGAGTCAACAGACCAATCACAATTTTCTTTGGGAGTAAGAACCCCCTTTTAGACGACCTTATGAATATCCCGTATGAGAAATTCAAAATACCTCGCATAGAGACATATAAGGGCGAGGGAGACCCCACTGAGCATGCTCAGAATTATTATGATGTGATGAGTATGCCCCAAGCCTCAGAAGCAATTCTCTGTCAGTGCTTTCCTATCACTCTTTCAGGGAGTGCTAAGATCTGGTGGATCACTCTCGAGAAGAGATCCATCGGAAACTTTCAACAACTTAGCCGAAAGTTCATCCATCATTTCCTAGTTGATGCCAAGTGGAAGCTTCCCCCTCACGTGCTGATCCAAATGAAGCAGGGGCCAGATGAGAGCCTCCGGGCCTACTTCAAGAGATTACAAGCCAAGAGGCTGGAAGTCGATGACCCAGGGAGTGCGGTCACCATGTATACATCAATTACTCATAGACGGCCTGCAGAACAATGCATTGGCCGACTCTCTTGCTAAGAAGTCAGTCGTCGGCTATGAGTAATTGATGGCCAAAGCCCATGGATACATGAACATTGAAGACACCCGAGCATACAAGGTGGCAGCCCGAGCATACAAAGCACAACCCTATGGCCGACTCCCACAGTCATCTCTCGGCCATAGGGGAAGCCCTAGTCAACTTTCTTCGTAGTTCTAGGTATTCGACTCTTAGTCGGATTCCAAGCCCGTGGCTCCTCATCAGGATAAGCCCAAGGCACAACCCTTTGGCCGACTCCCATAGTTATCTCTCGGCCATAGGGGAAAACCTAGTCGACTCTCAAGAGCCTAGGTGGTTCGACTCCTTGGTCGTATTTCAAAGCCCTTGGCTCCTTGTAAGGGTAAGCCCAATGCATAACATATGGTTCGATTCCTCCGGTTCTCATCGACCATCATGGCAAGCCCTTGGCTCCTTTTCAGGATAAGCCTAAGGCACAACTCTTTGGTCGACTCCCACATTCACCTTTCGACCTTAGAGGATTGGAAAAACCTAGTCGACTCTCAAGAGCCTAGGTGGTTCGACTCCTTAGTCAGATTTCAAGCCCTTGGCTCCTCATCAGGATAAGCCTAATGCACAACCCTATGGCTAACTCCCACAGTCGTCTCTCGGCTATAGGGGAAGCCCTAGTCAACTTTCTTCACAGTTCTAGGCATTCGACTCCTCAGTCGGATTCCAAGCCCTTGGCTCCTCATCAGGATAAGCCCAAGGCATAACCCTTTGGCCGACTCCCATGGTCGTTTCTCGGCCATAGGGGAAGCCCTAGTTAAATTTTTTCGCAGTTCTAGGCGTTCGACTCCTCAGTCAGATTTCAAAACCCTTGGCTCCTTTTTAGGATAAGCCCAAGGCACAACTCTATGGCCGACTCCCACAGTCGCTTCTCAAACATAGGAGGATTATGAAGACTTAGGTCCAGCATGAAGCCCAGTCTCGAAGTTATCATCCTGCCATTAAGACCTTAGTATCATCATGAGTAAACCCAAGGCATGGAGTTCAATTGTCCGGTTAACTTCGATAAAAAGACTCAAAGCACTTCGACTTGCCAGTCTTCATCAACCAAGGCCCGAGCATCTTGCCCACAGTAGGTGCAATATGAGCCAGTTATCAAGCCAACTCGTAACATTCGGGTCGACACAACACAGCCAACTCAAGAATTGCCACTTAGTTTTCTCAATCAGAGCAATTCTACAAAGCAATCAGTAGCCCTAACTTTAGTCCAGACCTTTATTCATTTCACTTGGACTTGGCTAAAGCCGACTCCAACCAAAAAGGGCCAACTGTTATGGGGTGTTTCCAAATGTATGATCTAATGAGTCGACATCTCGACCAGCCAGACAAGCCGACACGATCTGCCGACTTGGGAGGTAGTGTTAGTCGGTACGAAAATCAACATTCCAGAGATTCAACACTCCTCGGAGTCGACCTAAAGGATAGCCGAGCGGTCACTCCCCCAGTCGAGTCGGCATCATTCCTCAAAGGCGACTCGAGAGGCAGACTCAGTCGATCCTCTTCATATCAAAAGATCTCTACTCAGCATTACCTTTCACTCCTCCCAAGGACGACCCAGAATATTACTTCTCAATATTATTTAACCTTTGATGATCATCATTAAGTCTCAGTCCTCAACTGTTTGAAGACTCGTCGGCTGCTGGCTCCCAATGTCGCTGAAGTGACCTCCCGTCACTCACAAACCGACAAGACTCGTCGGCTGTTAGCTCCTAATATCATTGATGTGACCTCCCATCACTCATAAACTGATACATATAGAACAAAGGGTGACTCAACCTCCAGCTCACCCCTCACCACCGCCTTACAGTACACTCATAAAGTGACCAATTTATCCTTGGCATCCTCTATAAATACAAATGCTATTCGCCATAAAAAAGAGGGGTTGGCAAGTTGGCAGGTTCACAATCTAAACTTTCCTCCTGATCTAAATCTGAGAGATCATCATCTCTAATGCACATAGCATAAGAACACATAGTTCTATTACTCCACTCAAGCTCAAGTTCATCAACCGACTTGATCGTCGGAGGTACCACGGGTGAATCATCACCCCGCCCTCTCATAACTTCTTCTATGCAGATCACAAACTCTGACTCAGTGGCCAGACATAAAGTCGAGAAAGGAAGAGATCCCCTTCATCATCCTTCATCACCCCGCAAGCATCCTCTTCTGGATTAATAGTCCGTGTGATATAGAGCATCAACATTCTTATTTAATTTTTAAAATTAATTATATTTACATATTTA